AACAACAAATGAATTTAGCATAGAAAAATTCTACTAAAAACAACAGCATGCATTCAGATTCAATACGTCTTTACTAGTTTGGTTCTTATATTGTGCTAATTGTTTATTTAAAATATTTAAAGATAAGGGAATATCATTTATCAAGGATTCGCCGTATAAACGGAACTTCCACTTCTTAGTTGTAGATTCCTGGAGATTGAGGGGTAAACTAGTGATTCAAGTTAATGCCAAGTACCTGTAGGAAGCCTCTTAACTCAATACATAATGGAACAGACGCTTGGTGAAGTTCTTAGAATACTACACTTACTGAAGTTAACTCCTTGTGGTAAAATAAATACGAATTTTTATTGCTAATGGCAGGCTGTCATGTGCCTGTCAAATAGAGAGGTGTAAAATATAAGATGTAAAATATTTATGATTATTTTGGTTTTTAAACTCTTCTTGTAATTATCTTTTGTATGACCATAATATAACCCATCAATTAGGTAAAAATGTTTTTAGTAGAAAAGTTACTATATTTTTTATAATACGTTTTAACTTTCATAGTTTTTCCATTGTATTAATTTGCAATTTTAGCCTACCGATTGTTTTTCATCTTCCATTCAAATTATAGTTTCAGTACCATGAGTGACCGTTGGTGTTATAGATTGGTTTATTGTGTTCTATACTGTGGAAGTGAAAAATAATAAGAAATGTAAGCTTTTTAAAAAGTAACATTTAAAAGTAATACATACAGCATAAACAACATGTTCTAAGGATTTATAAACCCAATACCCATAGTATAATCTTTTAATTTATAATTATTTGTAAAGTAAATCGTAGGTATAAATATCGTAAAATGCTTTAGCTTAAATTACCACAAAACTGTGTTATACTGAGGTAAGACTATCCCGCATCTGGCTTAATGGGAATCCTGACGTGAATAAGTAATTCCTGAATCTATTGACTACACAATATGAGAGCTGCAAAATATATGAATTGTTTCTTAAGGAAATATGTTGTATATCAAACATAAAATTCGTGTATTTCTATATGATCGAAATTTCCGATACTGCAGTTTATTCATATTTCTAACAGTTCATTGTAGTTTGTCAGATTTTTTTAGATACTCCCGCAAAGTGGACTTTGTATTCATATGAAAGTATTGGCAATTTTTCTTGACTATGAAACAGTCTTATGCTGAACAATTAACAATTTCAGTGATCTATACAAATATGGTAAAACACATCCCCTTTTCAATCTAAAAATTGCCATTTCAAAATAATCAAAAACAGAAAAGCTTTATTTATTCTAGAAAAATTTGTCTCTTTCTTTACATACACAATATGTATTTATACGAAGATTTGAGCTAAGCCAGACTGAACTAGTTTAAGTAACCAAATATTTAAACGTTTACAGCTATAGAATAACACATGGCAAAATAATGGTTATTTTGGTGAATATTATGATTGTAAGTATTTCATAAACTGCAAAAAATATTTCAAAATGCATTCCATTAGTTAACGATATTCTATTTCAATAAACTTTGCAACCTTTGAAGCAAGTTTGCACTGATTCTTTGTTAGTTTAGGGTCAATGACCTTTCCAAGTTCCAAGGGCAATCAAAGCTTTGAAGGTGAGTTTTCGTAAACCATTCCCGTTTATTTTATCCCAGTTTACGCTGCATTAAAAGGTTACATGCTATTAACTGTTTATAAAAGTGTTTTAAGGCTTTATAGTCAGGTAAAAAAAATTAAATCGCCTAAAATAATGTTAACTCGTGTACGAAAATAGTATAGACGTCTTTCAAAACTACTTGATATATTATTGCTTGTATGTTAACTTTTAAAACGGAGTATATTTATACACATGTTTTCCGGAACTCCAGATCCCCTTTAAAGTGTTGACCTTAGCATCTAGGTCATTTACAATCTAAATAATGGCTGAAGGTATGCAGATCACTATATTTAATTTTTTTTAATTTTTACTTCCATTTAAATAGTTTGTAATTTAAGCTATATAATTAAAACATAATGCTGTATCTAATTCGAAATGTATGTGAAAACCCCCTAGGTTAACCTCTAAGGGCCTAAAAATTGCATATCACTATAATCTTGACACAAAATGGATGCATCTCATGCTTATTAAAAAGATTAGTGTGGTTTAACTAATTATTCATTACTCTAGTTGGGCAACTACATGACAACTTCTATTAACTGTTCAAATCCCCTGTTATAGGGACCATACCGAATATCAAACTACAGTGTACAGTATTGCTTTGCCTATGAGAGTAGACCACCTGCTATATTGGAATACAATTGCAATCCTGACATATTGGCGTAGTCTACTAAGGCTCTACACACATTATTTTACGTTATTCAACGGAGCTTTTATTATTTTCATCTCTATGTATACTAAAATAGCTCATCCGTACGATGATCGTCGGTTTAAAATCTGGCAAAACATATAACTTTCCTGTTCTAAACATGACTTTTCCTTTGTAAAACAGAAATTTAGCTTTCAAAAACAAATTGTTCAACTACCCATTAGGGTTACGCCTGGGTAATAACAAAAACCATATCAATCACGTTTAAGGGGAAGTGATCCAAGCCCATTAAATGTTTGTGGATGCGCTAGACGAGAGAACCACCCCACTCATGCCGAAAGCCCGAGACTATAACAACTAGACTGGGCTGCACTAATAACCACATTCACACTGTTTACAATTGGAAATAAAGGATGATGTTCAACTTATTTTATGTGTGTTACGACACAAAGAGGAATACTTCTTCGCTAATTTTAAGAAATCACTAATAATTTTTTTAAAGAAAAATCAAATTGAGTACTGCTAAAATGGGTATTATGTTTTGTTTCATGCAACCTAGATGAACATGTACACATTTTAAAACGGATACGAAAGTCTGAATAGTATTTTATATATGGTATGTATTTAAATGTACGATAAATCTAGTATTATTTACATATTAAATACTACCCGTACACATGATTATGTTTGGATTAAAAAGTTTGTCTTTTGTATGTACGTGAAACAGTTTTTATCAAATCTCATTTATTAACGTACAACTTATTAACGTAACTTTTAACGTATAAAGTAAAACCGACTTAGGTACCACAGTAATAATTTGAAAAACAAGAGAGCTGCAGACCAAATATGAAACCAGAGTCTAACATTATATTACCTCCAAGTGGGTAGCACCTGCTCGGTATTGGAATACAATTGGAACTGTCATATTGCAGATGTGTTCTCTGGTTCTGCTTGGTAAAATTAAAACCTTTACTATGCAATGTGTTAATTACCTATCTTGTTCTTACAAAACCTTTTTCCTATAAGTAGATTATACAGGTTTTGAGGGGGTTTGATAATATGGATTAAGATTTTTAGACTGATTTCTTTCATTACTTTTTAGTTTTAGTGTTTCTACCATCTCATATCATAAGACACTAAAGTACTGACAGATATTACTTCTCAAAACATACCATAGACCCTAGCTTCTCTTTGTCAGAGCCAGAAGTTGGTTAATGTCAGATTAATCAACCTGTCTTGATAGGATTAGTTTAGTTTAGTTTCAAACTGTGTCCATAACCTACCTGTTGAACAGCGTTCTACTCCAAAGAGAATATATTGGATATAAGATTATAAAATTGAACTCTTTTAATACTGGCTTGTTAGAGACTGAGTTTATAAATTAATTGTTGTTTGCAATGTAAATGTTTGCACTATTATAGGGATATAATAAGATTGACTACGTCCTACAATATTGTAAATATATATACAGTTGTTATACTGTTATACTGTACACTTTTACAAGAATGAAGTATTTAATAAATATACTACAAAGGCGATCAATTTCAACCAATTACGCTTAGTAAGAGAGTGATTGGTCAAATACAAATACATTGTAATATTGTACAGGTGTTCTATTTAAAAGTCATTAATATTTCCTTCGCCTAGACGATTGGAAAATCTATATTAATACGCTACATGAAACTTTGTGAACAATAAGGCTTTTTTGTTTTAAGATTTAACCCCACATATTATATAACAAAATGTTCGTATAGGTGCGTAGACTTGTAAACTGGCCTTACATTTTTGAAAAAGTCCCTTGGGCTCTGCCCCAGTGGCTTTTAAAGTTCCCATGTTATTCCCATAAAGAACATATTTGTTTACATTTTGATCAGCTGGATAATTTAATTGCTGTTAATATTTTAGCTGCAATTTAAGGAAACGTGTGCTACAAACATTTTACTGACTTGGTTGAAATGAAATATTTACCAGCCTATTTGAATTTGGGTTGACGTAAATAATACAATGGAAAAAGCGAGAAAGCCTGACAGAGAAATAGAATTTGATATACCTACTATAAAGAAACCTGAATTAACACTATGCTGTATTTCTTAAACAATGATTAAAAGAGCCGATTCGCAAACTATTGAAATATAGCAAAGTCATAGTACACCACCAAGTAAAAGAAATGAATATGTTTTTTTTATTTTATAATTGTTATTATGGACAGCCTAATGCGGCTAAGAGTGGGAAATCTTTGTAAAAAACACAAAAAAGATCTAAGATATTTACAAGACATATTTATTATATGGAACTGTTATGTAAATCGTGAATAGTTCCATAACCTTTGAGTAGACTCTTTTAAAGTCATCGGAAATTATGACTGTTATTCGTTTTAAAATAACGCCTGTAACCTCTACTACTTAGCAATTGCTCGAATTCGAGCAACGGGACACTACTAAATAATAAAAGTACAACTATGCCATTGCTTCTATTCTGTTCTTACCTGTTTCCCTAGATTTGAAAAGAACTTTTAGAAACCTAATGCATATTGCTGCCTGCTGTTTTTGCTGCAGTAAGACGAAAAATAAGTATATTTTGTGTGCAAAGCATGTAAACAAGATATCATAAAACTTGTCATGGATCACACAAAGTGTTCTGTCTAGGATTGTTATAATAACACTTCTTTTTGGATATGCAAACATGTTGTTTTATATTTGAACATAATGTGAATTTCTGAAAGTTGTTTTATATAATTTCTAAAAGAATATTTGTATATTTAACGGTGCTGCACTTCGTTTCGTGTATGCTGTTCCTGTAGACCTTTTTCTTTTTTCTATATCTCCTGATGGTTTTTGCTGTTCATTTTCATCCGAGTCAAAGTTGTTTTCCTCAGAAATATATTCATTTTCGTAATCGACTCCTCGGTTTTGCTTTTTATTACTTTTCTCCAGACAATTATATTCCCTTCTCTTAACATTATTTTTATTGGCAACGTTTTCACTTGAACAATCTTCTGTTGGTCTTTTGATTAATGCATTCTTAATCCTTTCAGTAAGGTCTGGTACAAATAATATAAGGAGCAATAGTATCACTATGACAACCGAAAGTATGCGTATCCAAAACCAAATTGGTTTAGGATTTAGCTGAAACAGTCAAAAACAAATAATTGTTATAAAATAAACTTAGTCCTTGATTTTAAAGGCTGGGATACACAGTGGAAACTGCCAGTCTACTGTTTTTGTGAAGGCCTTGTCAAACTGTTAGGCCTCTGGGATTTTTCACATACAGTTTGACGAGTGTGTAAATTAAGTCTTGAAACAAATCTCTATTTTTTAAACCAGAACAGAAGTATTCTGTTTGTAGCATTGATTCTTAACAAAGGTTCCGCAACTTCATACACCCAAAAAATTGTTTAACCCCCTAACAGGGTAGGGAGTGACTTATTTTTTCAAATTGCAGCCCCTATTGAGTGGCCCCTCAGTTTTAAAGGCTCGTTAAAAGAAACACAATGACGCAAACCCGAGGTGAATATCTCACATAAATCAAATTTCAAATCAAAGGCGCTTTTTCACATAAATCAAATTTTAGAATACCTGCTAATTATTGTGATTGTATTTGGGCTAGGGATGAAATATCTACCTCGGGTTTGAGTCATTGTATTTCTTTTGACAAGCCCTTCAAAATGAGGGATCAATCAACAGGGGTTGTTATACAAAAAATGTATCACCCACTTCTCCGACCCTGTTACGGGGGGTTAAAAATATTGTTGATGTAAAAAATTGTGGAACTTTTTGTTAACAATCAATTCAACAAACAGATTATTTATATCTATTTTGGTTTAAAAAATACAGATTTGTTTCAAGACTTAATTTACACACTGTATAAAATATGTCTCGTAGCAGTTATATTGATTTTTACACTATGTATAAAATTATAAAAAAATAATAAATTAAAAATATTACAATCACCTACCTTTCTGTAAACACCGACGCAATGGTTTCCGATACAAATATCAATCTGAAATTATAAGTAATTTAATTTTTTTCAAAATGTCAGTTGATTAAAATAAACTAAAAAGAATAATTTAAATGGAACATAATGCAATTCAATTTAAATAGACTTACATTTAAATTGTATTCGTATTACATGAAGGTAGAAGTATAAAACAAAATCCAGAAAATATATAGGCCTATATATTATTAGTTCCTAGTTATAAATATTGTTACAGTTATAGATAAACTAATCAATAATTATTTTGACAGTAATTTGTATTTATTTTGTAGTGTAATGTTTTGAATAAATAAAAACGTATTTTAGGTCCAGTATGACAGTTAGTCGTTAGTAAGAGATAGTATAGCTATTCATTTTGAATGAACCTCATAACATTAGTTTTAGTTTGTATTGCCATAGATAAAACATACTCCCTCAGTCGTACCTTGAGTTGGTTAGTCTATGGTATTACTCTATGGTGTAATTAATTTTATTAGAAATGTTAATTTCAAAATTCTCTCACTGGAGAAATAGATGCATGACATGCTACCAAAATCTGTGAAAAGATATTACTATACTATACTATTAGATATAATATAGGTTTATAGTTTAGTTTTAATACTACATGTAAGAAACGTACCCCCATTGTGTAATTGTCACAATTAACTGTAATCTTGGATAGTTGTAGCGTTAAAATTATATGTTGGCGGTACAATGTAAGTGTACGTGTAAGAAGTTTTACTGTATAATTTTCTGAATTACTATAGAAACAAAAAACCGAAATTTTGAAGCCAGTTTGAATTTTGATTAACCTCATGCTCACAGAATCAACAATTTGTCAGCACGTGGTTGAGTTTAAAAGATAAAATGATTAAGAATATTTTGTAAATTATATTTACACTTAGTGGAGTTTATTTCTTAAATAAGAAGCGTGGGTCATAAACTTTTTTTATTGACATATGATATAAACTTTTTAATTATCTTTCTAATCCCTCTCGCTGTCGTTCGAATTTATTTTTAATATTTAATTTTAGTTAATTTTAGTTGCGTTTTCGAACCATACAAAAATTTTGATTTTTTTTTCTCAGTATTAAATCGGTGACTTTAAAATTTAGATTATCACTAAAACCATTCATCTACTCAGTTACACTTTGAATATTAGCTACACAATACACATCTCGTGTGAATTCAATTACAGTATTACTATTCAATGTTTTATATATTACAGCTTCAAAATGTATGCCAGTTATGTGATATGAGTATACCTATTATAATCAACAAAGCAATAATATACCAAACTTAGCCATAAACAAGGCTGGTACAATGTCAAATCTGCCTTAAATGGGTTTCCTCACTTAGAATGCATAATTAGAGCATTTCTTAGGCTGAATCCCCATGGAAATTATTGGTTTGGTCTTCAAAACCAAGTAATTTTATTTTTAATTGTAGTTTTTATTTTTGTTTTTTTTTTACTGTTTCGTTACATATTGAATTATTTTTTAGATGACTGATACAGTATTTCAAATGTATGAGTATGGCCATAAATATGTTTTACAAAACTATAAATATTATAGGCTTATGTTTTAACCAACATTAAAAAATACAATTTTCATATTTTTATTAATTTGCTTTTGCATTATTTGGATTTTTTCGCGAAAAAAATGTTGATTGAAAAAAAAATATTAAAATTTTACTCATACAACTAAAAAATAAACAATGAAAACCACCCCTTAAAACCGAGTATCAATGGAAAAAACCCGTATTCCCAAATTAACTAATGTTTTCTAACAAGATAGATTTATTCGTTATTTCGTTATATTCGGAAACCACCAAGTATAAGAAAAAGTTTTTATTTTTTGAATTAGAACTCATCAGATTATTGAAAATAGCATCAACAATACTGGCTCAGCAATTCCATTACATTTACATTATTAGATTGATAAATATTGAAGATAACCATTCATGCCATAGCTGGGCAATCTCATTGGTTTGATTAGAAATCTCTTTTCAGACCTCAAGATATTGGATCAAGTAAAAATTATACTCGTAGGGTCCAATAAACAAGTATAAATGTAATAATTTATACTACAGAGCTGTATAACTTCAATATTAGCCTAAGTTAAAAAGAAGCCATTTCATTTCCATGTACACCATTGACTTTTTATTAATAAAATAAATGAAATCGTAACAAATATATATTTTTCATTTAGTTAAATTATACCTCTGTATCTCAGCCCTAAATAAATATTTAATTAAAACAATCTTACTTTATGATGGCCTTCCGTAGAGCTCTATTTTAATACAGGAACTCGTCAGTAAAAAAATATACAAATGCATGAATATTACTAATATAACTATTCTAAATATAAATTTCAATTACCATTTTCTTTCGTACAATGTGCTTTTTGCAAGTTAACATACTTATAACCTAATTAATCACATTTTAGAATTTGAGGTTAACCAACATTGAATATTATTTTCCCATATCCATGTTCAATAGTATTTTAATACAAATTTTTATTTCAGATATAACTTTCCCAGATTATAATGGATAATAATATTTTGTACTTACAATGTCTACGAGATTTACCTACCATGAGATACAGAATTATGAATGAAATCAAAATTAGTGAGGGAAATGAAAAAAGAAACAATGTTACCACTACAAACAATTAAAATAAACCAAATTATGCCTGTTGCATACTATAACTAAATTTGCTGGATTTTCTTAAACAAACAATACAAGAATCAGTATAAAATGTAATTTCATTATACTCAAAAAACATGAAAATTTTTAAAATAATGAATTGATTTCTGAAACCGAAGTTACATTATGGCTTCCCGTAATATGTTCCTTTCCACTATTCATATATTTCTTAAAAATATTATATATTTGTTGTTCGTGTGGAACCTATTATGTGAATTAAGTTTATCACCTATTCTCTAGTTATTTTTTTACGTACGTTGTTGTCAATGATATTTTACTAACTGTTGGGGCTTTCGGATGTTCTTTTTGGCGTAAATAGTCACAATGCAACGAATATATCAAGCTCTGTAACTTTCAAATTATTAATCCTAAGTTGATTACCATTTTGCTAAAGCAACAAAATGGTGCTTATTATTTAGTTCTAATAACACAAGTATAGTTTACAAGAACAATATAACACACACGTTTTTTTATCATGAGAAGTGTCATGTTGGTTGAATTTGTGTTTAATTTCCGTAAACAATCTGTTAATTCAGCCCAGTGTCATTCTCTATCACACGGTTATTACTCGCCTCACATAGTCTGCCCGAACATGTATTTGTTTCATTATTTAACATGTCAACGCTTGTAACATTTGCTGACAGCTGGGTTTTGTCACGTTTGTTTACAATTTTTGCGTTTTATGACGAGTTGAACAAATGTTTATAAATATTGTGCATAAGTAGGTTAAAACTTTAAAATAGTGGTATGATCGATTAGTCTGCTGTATAATAAATCATGGAGTGAGATATTGTTTTGGACATCTTGTTAAAAAATCCTGGCATTTGTAAATAATATTTAAATTACACTGATGTGTATGATTTAAAATACTATCTATACATTAATAGGAAAGCATGTTTCTTAAAAACCTTTTTTCTCAGCTCGCGTTTATCGCAAAGAAAATATACGCGTTCTGTTAGAAAGATATTTTCCTATAGATGTGCAGAATCCCTTTATAAATTAAAGTGGGCTAAAAAATAAGCACAATAAACGCATTTTAAATTTGAAAAGATCAACATGGGCCGTATAGGTTGCCATGCTCATGAAGAAATATAAACAGAAAATCAGAAAAAATTTAACAAATTCCAATCACATGTTTTATTTACAGTGTCTGCACAATACATATTTTCGGTTGAGTTTTCAACCACTGGGCGACCTCTAGTACTACATCAAAAACTATTACGATTGGGTCATTTATTCATGATTCATTTATGATTAATTATTTTTATTAATTAATATCCTGTAAACAAGCACGTGTACAAACTTATATTTTTGTCCAAATATTTTTGATTGTTTGTTTATCATCGGGTATTTGGCCACAAGATATCCATTGGAGTTGGTCACAAGGCTGGGAAAATTCCATTTTAAGTCCTACAACCCTTTAAAGTGCCCAATCGTCGATAACTCTTGTAGCTGCAGTTAATAAAAACAGCTGTACAGGTTATTTTGACTGAAATCTACATATTTGTAAAGGTGTATTATAATGTTTTCTTCGTATAATCTATTGATTAATCTATTTTATCTTTAATTTAGCTAATTAACTTATATAATAAATATTATGTTTAATTCAATCTCCTGGTACTTACTTATAAAATATGAGGTTGATTTCAACTCTAAGGTTGATGTATCAGTTGGATTAATATACATGTTCTCTTTGCAATTCACTGCCGAATGATCAGGCGCAGAACCCAGGTGTGTCTGGAGAGTTATCCAATCTGACCAAACATTTGTGTCCGACACACACTAAACTTGTGATATTTATTGCCGGTAAAACAGTGCCAATAGACTATCCTGTTGCGAGCATTGCATTTTATTGCTTCGGAAAATGACTCTGCTCATTTTGTTTTAAATTTATTGTTAAAACTGTTTTGAATTTTTTAACTTGTTTTGAATGACATTATTTTCAGATGGATCACACTTTATTGTAAATTATTTGTTTGCCTACAATAGTAATTCGGACTTATATATATTTCATCACCATTCGATATTTTACACTATATAAGGTATACAGCAACTTCAGCTGTCATCACATAATGTTGTTTCTGACCAACCCTAAATAATTATTACGATAAATTCAAAATTATTGCAAATGAATTGTATATTATGAATTTTGAAGCTGAGGCCTATTTAGAGTTTTATAAATTTCATGTTCAATTGTCCACACATATTTATCATAGCAACGACATATTTTTTATTAAAATTCCAATTATGCACTTACCTAATCTACAATTGATATGTATTAAATGAAAATTGTTTGAATTGTGTTGCGCGGCTGTGATTTTTAAGTACAGATATAGCGAAGTGACAGAATTGTTTTGATTTAAATGGGGGTAAGCTATTAAATTGTATCTTTATATTATCCAATACTGTAAGCCGTTTTAAGCAGGCTAGTTTCATAGCCATGGTTACGGTTAGTTACACTTCAAGGTTAACTACTTGACAACAAAATACCATACCGTATCTTATAACCTCCTTGATGACAGAGAAGCTACATATAGGCTCAAAAGAATTCATCCAATCGACATCTATAATTGATTATAGATTTTTGTTTTGTATGTTATGGCACTCAATGGAGTGTAATTAACTCATGTTAAATTGTCATAAAATTTATTTATTTACAGATTGTAAATAAAAACTTGTTAAACAAAAAATACTATCACATTGTTACAGGAAACATTACAACACGCGTAAACAAAACGGTTTTTTGGAAATACGGAAGGTGAAAATTTCAAAATTTCATTCAATATCACAATAGATTTAAATATTTTGTAACCAACATAGAATGTTCAACGATAACTTAATTTTATTTTTTCATGTATTTGCAGGGTTAGTTAATGTCCTTACACTTTTGTATACTGTCAACCCATCTATATATAACAGCTTTATTTAAATTTTGTTAATGAAATATAACATAGTTGGAGGAACCACTCAGAAAGCTTCTAAAAAATTATTATTTGTGTATAGATACTTTGTTAGTATAA